CCCTCATGTGTGAAGGAATTGGATTTGGCCTGGATTTTCAAGTCTGTAGTCTTTGCAGCTCTCCATCTTTCTGCCTGAGTGGCTCTGCTGAAGACACATCGCTCGGAAGGGCTCAGAATGATGTGTGTAACATGCCGTGTAAAGGAGCTGCGGAGAATCACACGGGATCTGGCGCCTCAAATGCCGCGGCTGAAATGCGCTCGCTGAAGGGGGTGACAGGACGGGGGTGGGTGGGGGGCACTCCATCTTTCTGTATAATAAGCTTTCATCAATTCACATTGTACCCATCACCGTCATCATGGTTCTGGCCTAACCTGCTCAGTCTGCTATGTTCAGGCCATTTCTTCATTATATGTATCTATCACTGAATACATAATTTCAGGGGAAAAGGATGAGGACATTTATCAAAGTTTATTGCAACGATGTAGCAAATGGAACAGCACAGCAACACAAGTATCAAGTTCACACGTAACAAAAATTCTGGAAAAGGGAGCTGAATTAGCAGCAATGATAACTCAAAACTTGATTTAGCTACAAGGGATAGTCATGGCTGTGATTCCTTCCTCTACTAGAAAGATTTGGAAAATGAGAGTCCTGTGATATCTGATAAAGTCCAATGCCAGCAAACTTTTTTTTTATTTATTTTTAGTTTTGAATTGAGTGGGGAGGAGTTAAAGAGGAATTCCAAGTATGGATATTTTATACATAGTTACGTTGGTCCAAACTGGACCAACGTAACCTTGTATATACCACACCTGCCCAATGCTGCTGGAATATGGAAATCACTAAATTAGACACTGCTTCTCCATTGATCTCCTCATTCCAGTGGCTGCCCTGCTGCATTCTGAACACTAAAGGATGGCCACTCAGCATGGGTGCCTTTCAGAGAATGATTTGCATTTTTGAATGAATGCAAAGCATTCTCTGATTGGACGAGGTTGAAAGGCAGGGTGGTGAGAGAGGCAGGCCTTAAAAGTAGAACTATAGGCAAAAATTTATTTTTAATTCTAGATAGAGCAAGGAATGGTTTTAACCCCTGTCAATTTTCTTTTTTTGCCATCTGCCTCACAATGCAGATATTTCTCTTAGCTAAACAGGGAGTGAGAATCTCTGCAAATTAAGGGAATTCCCTGGGTACCTCCAAGTCACCAGAACTAGCAACCCCATTTGAAGATTTCCCCTTTATTACGTTTCTGGAGACAACCCAAAATTTGGGGTTTTCTTTTAATTTCACCTTCAATGATAATGGTAAACAGGGCAAATAGAGGGGTATATCTCTTTAATCTGGACACAGACAGCAATCAAAAAAAACTGACAGGTGTTCTAATCCCTCTGCACTGTATCCAAAACTGAAAAAAGTTTTGTCTTTAGTTACAGTTGCAAGAAGTTTTGCATGAATTGGGCATAAAATGTGCTCTGAACGTCATCTAAGTCACAACAATAGAAGAACACAGTCTGCTGAACATAATACTACACAAACATTAGATGTTGCCATGGTTTAATTGCACATAACATGTAAACATTCACAGTGCAGGAGGAAAAAAGTATGTGAGGCCCTAGCTTAATGACTTCTCCCAGAGCTAATTGGAGCCAGCAGTGAGCCAACCTTGACTCCAAATCAGTGTGATGATATTGGATGTGTTGCTGACAGCTGTCCTGCCCTTAAAAAACACACACCTGTTTTGGGTTTACTGGTTTCAAGAAGCACTGTCTGATGTGAACCATGCCTCGCAGAAAAGAGCTCTCAGAAGACCTACGATCAAGAACTGTTGACTTGCATGAAGCTGGAAAGGGTTACAAAAGTATCTCCAAAAGCCTTGATGTTCATGTGTCCACGGTAAGACAGACTGTCTACAAATGGGAAGAAAGTTTAGCACTGTTGCTACTCTCCCTAGGCGTGGTCGTCCTGTAAAAATGACTGTAAGAGCACAGCGCAGAATGCTGCATGAGGTAAAGAAGAATCCCAGAGTGTCAGCTAAAGACCTACAGAAATCTCTGGCACATGCTAACATTTTTGTTGACAGATCTACAATAAGGGAAACATTAAACATGAATGGAGTACATGGGAGGACACCACAGAGGAAGCCATTGCTGTCCAAAAAGAATATTGTCGCACGTTTGAAGTTTGCAAAATAGCACCTGTGTTCCACAGCACTACTGGCAAAATATACTGTGGACATCCCAAGAATATTGCTACACTGAAACAGTTTTGTGAAGAGGAGTGGTCCAAAATTACTCCAGATCGTTGTGCAGGTCTGATCTACAACTACAGGAAACGTTTGGTTGAGGTTATTACTGCCAAAGGAGGGTCAACCAGTTATTAAGTCCAAAGGTTCACATACTTTTTCCTCCCTGCACTGTGAATGTTTACATATTATGTGCAATTAAACCATGGCAACATCTAATGTTTGTGTAGTATTATGTTCAGCAGACTGTGTTCTTCTATTGTTGTGACTTAGATGACGTTCAGAGCACATTTTATGCCCAACTCCACGTAATCCCAAGGGGTTCACATACTTTTTCTTGCAACTGTATACTTTAAAGCAGATTTAGCTTACATTTAGGATACATTTGAGATGTGTGTAGGTTCACCTGATTTCCTTCACAGGTACCTAAAGCAATTCTAATGCACATACAAGCTCATGTACACTAGCATCACTGTAGCATAGGTTTCCAGTCTCAGTCCTCAAATACCTCCAAAAAGATAATGTTTTCAGGATTTCATTCACCTTTCACAGGTCCTTTAAATAATGTCAATGGTATGTTATTCATGACAGCTTTTGTATCTAAGGGAAATCCCCAAAATATGACCTGTGGGTGGTACTCGAAGAAGGAGGCTGTGGTATATTTGTAGCATCTACAGATCTCTCTGCTTGTGTTTGGAGATGTGTAGGCTGATACAGCGTTCCTTCTTTAGCTGATTATAATATTTATCTAAGCAGCTACAAACTGCTGGTGCATCTTGGTCAATCGGCAGCTGTATTGAATAACATGAGGAGCTACTGAAGATTTTGACCCTGTAGTTCCAAACTCAGCAAAAAGCCAATTGCTCAGCGACTGAGCTACAGATCGCTTGGAAAGCCGATGACACATAACTTTTATTGACTGCAAATTATTTTTTCCTAGCAACACAAACTCTGTAGCTGATGAAAAAAAAATCACTGTTACAAAATGACCAGTGTGACATGGGCCTAAGATTCGTGAAAGCTAGCTAAAAGTGACATATTCTCTGTAACTAAAATGCCACCAGTAAACCAACACCGGATTAGTTACTACGCATCACTATTGCTGTTTTCACCATCGAATGTTTAGGCGTGCTTCATCTGTCACTCACAAACAGCCCCCTGCAATGGTGCAGCTCCGTCATACCAGCACTTACGTAGATGCCATAGTGCACTTTGGACCATTTTAGTATTAAAGAAAAATATCTGCTTTCAGGCACACGTGTCACACAGCCGCCTTCCTTCAATCATAGGCTGCCTGTGTATTGCCACTTTCAAGGCTAAATTGAAAAAGCTATTGAACAAATACTAAATTAGGAGGCAGTCATTAAACCCTGGTGACAGGCTGTCAAGGTGTACAATGGTAAAATGCTTTCAACTTCCAATATCCAATTTACATAGCAGACAGACAGTAATAATGTTTGCTGCAGAGCACATGAGGAGCCAGGATCGACGGGGGGAGAATTCTTTGATATCATTTGTTAAAAAATGATTGCATTCATTTTAGAAAAAAACAAAAAAAGAGCTAATTAGAGATGCACATACACTGCCAAATGATGTCATGACAATTTGTAGAAATGTGGGCTGATTTGCACTCCAGGTAAAGGAAAATGTTTTTGGTATGTATTACAGGTTTTGGGGGGAGAGAGAGAATGATTACTGCTTTTTATTAATGCTACTTCTGCAATCCTCGTCTATCCGAGGATGATGCGCCATGCCCTGCCTCCTTCCCTCCCGTAGCCACAGGTCCCAGAAGACCGCAGGACCATTCACAGAGCGCTATAAGTAGCCGGCTCCTGAAACACATTGGCTTCTTTTCTCATGTACAATACAAATCTACTGGACTATTACTACTATTATGGTGCTCTCATCCTAAATGCATTTCTCAGACTACACTGGGGACCCCGAGATTATAACCCTAATTGAAAGAGAGCTATCTCCTGAGTTTGAACCTCAACTTCTACCCATCTTCAAGCCTCTGGTCCATCTCTCTACCAATACATTTATGGGTTTATTTACAAAAACTGAAGAGTGCAAAATCTGGTGCAGCTCTGCATAGAAAACAAATTGGCTTCCAGGTTATATTGTCAAAGCTTAATTGAACAAGCTGAAGTTAGAAGCTGATTGGCTAACACACGCAGCTGCTCCAGATTCTGAGTGCTTCAGTTTTAATAAATCTACCTTTTATTGTTGGATATTGGTGAGTGGTGTACTGTGTCTGAGCTTTCTTTCCAATGGAGGGGGTGCACAAACTCAGACCCGCTCTGTGCTTAAACTGTACGTTTTTTTCATCCTTTTATGTGTTGGTTACTGTTGTTGCAATGTGAATCTCATAAACAGCTCTTTTTTTAACATAAACATCAAAGTTTTCTCTCAAGTTATGTTCTATGACAAATCTCTGCTGGCCACGCATGTAGCAGTTTTGCCTTATTTATTTAAATTTTCCACATACATTTTATTGCCAAAAGTATTGGAACACACCTCCAAATCATTGGATTCAGGTGTTCCAATCACCTCCATGGCCACAGGTGTATAATATTAAGCACCTAGGTATGCAGACTGCAACTACAAACATTTGTGACAGAATGGGTCACTCTCAGGAGCTCAGTGAATTCAAGGATGGTACTGAGATAGACTGCCACCTGCGCAATAAGATCATCGGTGAAATTTGCTTGCTACTAATATTCCACAGTCAACTGTTAGTGATGTTATAACAAAGTGGAAGCAACTGGGAACAACAGCAACTCAGCCATGAAATGGTAGACCATGTAAAAAGACATGCTGAAACGCACAGTGCGCAGAAGTCGCCAACTGTCTGCAGAGTAAACAGCTAAAGACCTGCAAACTTCATGTGGCCTTCAGATTAGCACAGCAACAGTGCACAGAGAGCTTCATAGAATGGGCTTCCATTACTGAGCAGCTGCATCCAAGCCTTACATCACCAAGTGCAATGCAAAGCGTAGGATGCAGTGGTGTAAAGCAAGCCACTACTGGACTCTAGAGCAGTGGAGATGTCTTCTCTAGAAATATGAATCACACTTCTCAGGGGTTGGGCCTTGCCCCTTGTGAAGGGAACTCTTAAGGTGTCAGCATACCAAGACATTTTGGACAATTTCATGCTCCCAACTTTGCAGGAACAGTTTGGGGATGGCCCCTTCCAAGCAAGGTCCATAAAGACATGGATGATCAAATCTGGGGTGGAGGATCTTGACTGGCCTGCACAGAGTCCTGACCTCAACCTGACAGAACACCTTAGGGATGAATTAGAGTGGAGAGTGCGAGTCAGGTCTTCTCATCTTGACATCAGCGCCTAACCTCACAAATGCTCTTCTAGTAGAATGGTCAAAACATTCCCATAGCCACACTCCTAAACCTTGTGGACAGCCTTCTCCGAAGAGTTGAAGCTGTTATAACAGCAAGGGGTGGGCTAACCCAATATTAAACCCTACGGACTAAGCCTGGGATGCCAATAAAGTTCATGTGCATGTAAAGGCAGGCATTCCAATACTTTTGGCAATATAGCGTATATGTGTCTGCAGTTTTGTTTGACCACAATGAACTTCTCACAGTGTGCATTAGAAGCTGCAGCAAGACAAATGGAGCCCTCTTAATTTTCTGGCTGGAGGGCTTCAAGTAGCCACTAGCTCTTTTCTTCCAAGCCTAACTGTACCTGGCCTGCCCCTTTAAATAATTGGAATTCAGGTATTTTTATCATGGATGGCCAGCATCATCAATGTCAGTGTTGCCTAGAGGGGGTCTGAATGCAGATCATAGCCTGTCTAGGAAAGCTCCTTTTTCCAGACTGGCATCCACCCATCAAGAGCCAGACCGCTGCTTGCATCAGGGCTGAGGACTCTTGAGAGAAGTACTGAGGCAGGGTGCTGTGATGTTTACAGGAAGAGATGTACAGCACCCTGATCACTGATATCTGAAATAGGTTATGTAATTAAATCAGGTTTTATTGATTTACTTTTAGCATGGCTAATAAAGGAGTGGATGGGTTGGGTCGAGAAACCAAAAAAGAAAAACATAAAAAGATTAAACTTCAGCTTTAAACAAAAAATCAGCAATAAGATGCACATTACAGTGAGCCACCATCATCATCTTCTCTGTAAACTGATAACTGACACTATGGTTTTTAAAGGTAATCGTACTTTGCACAAGGATTGCTCTTTGAACTGATTCAAAGAATAAGCCACACAGCAGTATCATATTTTTTTTTCTTTTTTCTGATTATTTTCAAGTCCTGTTTATATTTGAGTTGCACAGACCAGCTTTGTGTCTTTTCCAGTTGACATTTCACACACACATTTCATCTGCTTGCCGGAGGGGCTGTCAGTCTCACTTGGGGTCCCCAGGGCTACGGGCTAAGATTTGCAGGAGATGACCATATGCTCACTGATATTTCCCAAGCTCTAATTAACGGGAAAGTATTTAATCTCCCTTTTCAGAAACATGTGCCGCTCTTGCAGTGAAATCTCTGGGATTTCTTGGAGACTGGGTCCTTCTGTTTCCTTATTGTGCAACATGTAACAATGTAGTTTGGTGCTGCAAAAGTACAGTATTTATGTTCAGGAAGTCAGCCCTTGATATTAAACCAAGGAGAGGAGAGGGAAGCAAATTTCAGATGCTGATATCTGTTAGATGAGTGAGGAGTTAGCCCCCGGTCACATCAAAGCCGATTTTGAAATCGTGCGACGTACAGTGAAGTCACATGATTTCATAATTGGGTAACCTGCCGATTTCAGTTGCGATTTGCAAGACATCTGACACAGATATCTATGCAAATCGCAACAAAACCAAGTCGGAACCACACCGATTATGACCACTCTAATAAGTGGACAAATAGGGTGCGACTTGCATAAGAATTTTGCAAGTCGCACCCGATGTGGGACTGGGGTTTTTTAGGTAGTTAGGAGACACAGAGAGCCATATGCTTAATCTGTAGAATTTACTAACCATGCATGTCATATGCCCCAATCCTTCAGTCATGTGCATAATGAACGCTACAAGATTGTATTTCATGTGTGACTACTCCATAGGGAGCTGTATGTTCTAGTTATTTTAGTTGTAAGTTGCTACTCCCTGGGTAAAGGAATTTGGTAGCAATTTTAGTAGTGTTACTAAACCTACAAAACTCTCTGTGTTAAGCTTCTACTTGCTCTGAAAATGTGTCTCTAAAAATGTGGTTTAAAATCGTGCATTTCTGCCTGCAGTGTGATTTTGCCATGTATGTCGCACAAAAAAAACATTGCAAGTATCATGTAAAGCACACGTTATCTCGCCTGGCCTCTTGTGGCAAACTTTGGTACAAGAGTTTCTTGGCGTGTTTGCCACGCATAGCGTGCCAGCGACGGCCAAGGCAGCCCCATTCATGGAGCCCATACTTAGGCAGAATCACACTGCATTTGGAGGTGCCATAAGAAGTAAAGAGGCACCAACAAGCACATCCCTCTGCATGTTCTTGAAAACATCAGGCCTGTATTGCAGACGAATGTTATGGGCAACGAGTTCATACCCACATTTTCAACAAAAATAATGGGCTTGCTGTATGCAACACACTAATGTTAGCGCATGAGGAAAAAACGCACACAAAAAAAAGTGAAGTGGGATTGTGCATTCCCACTGCATGAGTGAGGAAGTATGGCTTATTTAAACGCGTGTTACTAAACACCAAACAGTAAATTCAGTTCTGTAATATGCAGTAAATCATGCTTGTTTATACTCAACTGTGGAAACCTAAGGGGTTTATCCTCCACCTTGTGTATAACTAAGTCAGTTTGATCCTGTCTTTTCTTGATCGATCCCCTTCTTTCCACGTTCCCAATCCATCTGCCTAGCATAGTGTACAGTAGCTCTAGGAGGCATCTGCCAACTAATGCTCAGTATAGTTGTGTATTTGCTAAAAAGATTTGCTCTTTGGAAGGGTGCATGTGAACAGCACAGGGGCCGAATCCGCAATTGTCCAGGCAGAGGGGCTAGGGGTTATGCAGCCTCAGTAGGACAGCCAGAGAAGAATGAAAACTGCTCCTACAAGCTTTAACCAGTGCTCAGATGGACACTGATTAGAAGTCACAAGACTGCTGTAGCTGCTGAAGGAAAAGGTATCTTAGCAGTTTATATTTACTAAAATAATTGTATTTCCATGTTTGTGTGTACTGTGGGAACCAAGTAGTGTAGTGAATACTGCTGGGTCCTGGGTGTAGTAGTACTGTAAGTAAACCCAGCCAAATAAAATGTAATACACAAAACATTAACATATTAATGTAATTTCGAAAGTCATTTTGAATTATTTTAGATCTGCAGCTTTTGTCACTCTTTTTGTCTGCCTTATAGCAGTTTTTACTGCTACAGTTTGTTAATTTACCCCCCCCCCCCCCCCCCCCCCCCCCCCCCCCCCCCCCCCCCCCCCCCGGGGCGGTCCTCCTGTGCAAAATCCCCCCACACACACACATATATATATATATATATATATATATACACGATTTTGCACATCTGCATCATGGGGGCACGTTGTGCCACCACTGGTGGATTGCTTCTGCTGTGATTTGTTTACAGCAGAAGAAGCCGATATCTCCGAGTTTCCCAGCGAATGGATGTTTGCTAGCACCTACCCACAGATTGTCTGGGCAGGGAGTAGACCAGAACATTGTGCCATATTGTTTTACATTGGCACAGCTCTGGTTGCAATATGGGGGAAAGTGATCGACCGTGGTGTTCCTGCAGAGCTGGGGAACCACAATCCATCATTTGCCCTTGTAGCGCCATCTGAGTATTACATGAGCACATAGCTAGGCACACACTTAAAACTTTGATCACCCTAGTTCAGTGATGGCGAACCTTTTTTGAGCCCGAGTGCCCAAACTGCAACCCAAAACCTCCAACTTATTTCTTTCAAAGTGCCAACACTGCAATGAAACCTGAATATCGAGCTTTTTTAATTTGGTTTAGAAAAAAACAACTCGTACAGTAGTGCAAAACTAATTAACAGTACAGGGATGACCAGAGACTGTGGGACACAGTACAGGGATGACCAGAGATCTGCGGACACAGTACAGGGATGACCAGAGACTGCGGAACACACTGTACAGGGATGACAGAGACTGCGGGACACAGTACAAGGGATGGATGCCCAGAGACTGCGACAGTACAGGGATGACCAGAGGACTGCGGACAGTACAGGGATGACCAGAGACTGCGGACACAGTACAGGGATGACCAGAGACTGCGGACACAGTACAGGGGATGACCAGAGACTGCGGACACAGTACAGGGATGACAGAGACTGCGGACACAGTACAGGAGATGACCAGAGACTGCGGACCAGTACAGGGCATGACCAGAGGACTGCGGACAGTACAGGAGATGACCAGAGACTGCGGACACAGTACAGGGATGACCAGAGACTGCGGACACAGTACAGGGATTTGACCAGAGACTGCGGACAGTACAGGGAGACCAGAGATGCGGACACAGTACAGGGCTTATGACCAGAGACTGCGGACTTCGTACAGGGAATGACCAGAGACTGCGGACAACAGTTCAGGGATGACCAGAGGACTGCGGAGTGGATGACCAGAGACTGCGGACAGTACAGGGATGACAGAGACTGCGGACACAGTACAGGAGATGACCAGAGACTGCGGACACAGTACAGGGATGACCAGAGACTGCGGACACAGTACAGGGATGACCAGAGACTGCGGACAGTACAGGGATGACCAGAGACTGCGGACACAGTACAGGGATGACCAGAGACTGCGGACACAGTACAGGGATGACCAGAGACTGCGGACACCAGTACGAGGGATGACCAGAGTGCGGACACAGTGACAGGGGATGACCATGAGACTGCGGACACAGTACAGGAGATGACCAGAGACTGCGGACACAGTTGATTTGACCAGTTGGACTGCGGACACAAGTACAGGAAGATGACCAGAGACTGCGGACACAGTACAGGGCATGACCAGAGACTGCGGGACTAACAGTACAGGAGATGACCAGAGACTGCGGACACTGTTCAGGGTGACCAGAGACTGCGGACACAGTTGACCCAGAGACTGCGCGGACAGTACAGGGATGACCAGAGACTGCGGACAGTACAGGAGATGACCAGAGACTGCGGACACAGGTAACAGGAGATGACCAGAGACGTGCGGGACACAGTACAGGAGATGACCAGAGACTGCGGACACAGTACAGGAGATGACCAGAGACTGCGGACACAGTACAGGAGATGACCAGAGACTTGCAAAACAGTACAGGAGATGACCAGAGACTGCGGGACAGTACAGGGATGACCAGAGACTGCGGACAGTACAGGGATGACCCAGAGACTGTTGGACACAGTACAGGGATGACCAGAGACTGCAGACACAGTACAGGGATGACCAGGAGACTGCAGACACAGTACAGGGATGACCAGAGACTGCGGAACAGTACAGGGATGACCAGAGACTGCGGACACAGTACAGGGATGACCAGAGATGCGGACACAGTACAAGGAGATGACCAAATACTGCGGGACACAGTACAGGATGACCAGGAGACTGCGGACACAGTACAGGAGATGACCAGAGACTGCGGACACAGTACAGGGATGACCAGAGACTGCGGACACAGTACAGGGATGACCAAAGACTGCGGACAGTAAAGGAGATGACCAGCAGACTGCGGACAGTACTGGAGATGACCAGGACTGCGGACACAGTACAGGAGATGACCAGAGACTGCGGACACAGTACAGGAGATGACCAAGGACTGCGAACAGTACAGGAGATGACCAGAGACTGCGGACAGTACAGGAGATGACCAGAGACTGCGGACAGTACAGGGATGACCAGAGAACTGCGGGACACAGTACAGGGATGACCATGAGGACTGCGGACAGTACAGAGATGATGCTGGACCTTTGCGGAGGGAGGGGGAGCGGGTACCTGAATTTGACAGGTACCCGCTCTTACTTCCGCAGAGTTTTTTTTTTTATCTTACCTGTTCCTTTTATACAGGCCGCCCCGCGCGCTGTCTTCCCGGCTTCTGTAGTGTGGGCGCTCGTCAGGACAGCCGGATGCCCAGTGCGCTTTTCTGCAAACCAATCAATATATGCTTATTGGGATTTTTTTTTACCAAAAATTATGTAGCAGAATACATTTTGGCCTAAATTTTGAAGACATTTTATTTTTAATTTTTTTTATTGGATATGTTTTATAGTAGAAAAATTAAAAATATTGGGTTTTTTTTTCAAAATTGTCAGTATTTTTTTGTTTATAATGAAAAAGTAAAAACTGCAGAGGTGATCAAATACCACTAAAAGAAAGCTCTATTTGTGTGGAAAAATGGACATAAATTTAATTTGGGTACAGTGTTGCATGACTGCGCAATTGTCAGTTAAAGTAACACAGTGCCATATCACAAACAATGGCCTGGTCAGGAAGGGGTTAAATCCTCTGGAGCTGAAGCGGTTAACCACTTGATCCCTGGAAGGTTTTTACCCCCTTCATGACCACAGCATTTTTTGCTATTCAGCAATGCACTATTTTAACTGGCAATTTCTTGGTCATGCAACATTGTACACAAATGAAATGTATATCATTTTTTTACACAATTAGAGCTTTCTTTTCGTGGTATTGGTCACCACTGAGTTTTTTATATTTTTGCTACACTTTTTAAAAAGACTGAAATATTTTCTAGTTTCCATATATAAAACATATCTAATCAAAAAAGCAAATTTTTTTCATAAATTTAGGCCAAAATGTTTTCTGCTATATATGTCTTTGGTAAAAAACAATTTAAAAAATCAGAATAAGTGTATATTAATTGGTTTGTGCAAACAGAGTCTGCAAACTATGGTTTAGATATAGAGTATGGAATTTATACAGCTAAGATGCTGTTCTGTTCATGGCGGTGATCAACAACTTATAGTGGGGCTTTGATAGTGTGGTGGGCAATTTGGTGCTAGCTCATGCTGGCTGGGAGATACACTAACTGAACTGACTGACACTGATATCATAAGTGACACTAATACAGTGATCAGTGCTAATACTGTACTCTGTCACTGTACCAATTACACTGGCTGGGACATCTAGGGGCAATCAAATGGTTACCTGTGTGCCTAACAATGTGTAATGTCTTGCTGCTTTTACTTTACTGTATGTCTGTTTTTTCACCGTGCTTTGCAGGGAGAAAAAAACAGCCAGATTGCTGTTCCCTGTACACAGAGTTCTGTGTTTTGTAAAAACACAGAACTCTGTGTGATTGCACATAGCCAATCAGCTGACTTCAGTGAAAATCATTGGCTGAAATCAGTTGCCAAAATCATGCTGTGTCCTGTCACAGTGCATGTTGGCAGGGGGCATGAATGCTCGCACCCAAACCTGGAAGAAGGCAAATCGCATATTATATATATATATATTATATGTGACTGTGCTGATCATGCCACCCCACCACAGTAAATGTACACTGGCAGAGCAGCAAGTGGTTAAAAATAATACCCGCTGATTCTGCCATGAAGGTCCTTGTTCAGGCACTTCCTGTTATCGAATGACACTGGCAACACTCTGTCCCTGTATCTGAAGCAAGACATAGATAATTAAATTTTCTTTCCTGCAACCACAAGTTGCAGAAAAAAGAAACTGCTCGATTCCCCCATTAATACAGTCAGGGGAATCCCTCCCACAGCGCTATTGTGTTCTGCTGGCTGGGAGCCTTCCCAGCCAGTAAACCACAATGATTACTGCTAGTAGTTATAGCCGCCAGCAGTAATCACATGTCAAAAAAATCCAACAGGCTGGGTGTACCCAAGTATATCGATGGGTCAACTGGGTACAATCAGCCTGCCCGTAGATGGATCCAATCTTGGTAGGTCTCTGCTGAACCAGCTGTGATTCGGTTCATCAATGGCTATCTTTAGGCTCCATTCACACTGATGGAGGCTATTAGTGATTAGATGCTGGAAAGCCAGCGGGGGCTCCCAGTGAAAACAAAGACCTTAATTTGTTTGTGCCTTCAGGACCAACTTTTTAGGTTTTTGTGATATCGCTCTGTATGTCAATGTGAAGCCACTGGACAAATATCATTTTAGTGGTATGCCAAAAAAGGAAAACATATTCAACTACCCTCTAAGATCTAGGGACAAGGAAACCTTTTTTCTTCACAAGCTCCTTACCAGTGTCCGTCATTGGGTTTAACAGTGTGTTGTTACCAGCCTGTCCAAACCATTGCACGGTTGTCATTCAGCATTCAATGACGTTGCTGACTTGCTTTGAAAGCTTCAGCCGGCAATGGTTGAGGTGACCTGTTCCAGGGGTTAAAATATCTTGCATCAGGCCAGGATTAATTAGACTGCTCTTTTGCAGCGCGGCAAAGAGAGGGCAGAGCAGGTTGTTTGCAAGAGAGATCAGAATACCACGTTGTGCGATTTCTTTATTAATGTGTTCCCCGCACACACAGCGATGCCTTGATTATCTCCTCTTGTCGTGTCTGTGTGCATCGCTGGGTGACAGGGTGAGCCCATGGATGTTATCAATGCTGTATCTCATGTTTTCTTTCTCCCTTATTATTTTATATACTATCTTCATTGCCTTAGCCTCCTTCATCTCTTATAGATCTACTTGTATATGATTATCAGCGATATTGATTTTCCAGAGTATCTCCCATCTTTGCAACTCCTCCAACAACCCTACTTTCTCATAAAGATTATTATAGTGACCCTGAAATTGTCACAAACAGTAGAGCATATGTCAACATTGTAAAATCATGTTGTTATTTTGAGAAAAAAATGAATTACTTTCTTGCCACGAATAATAATAGAATAGTTATAACAAAAAGCTGCTACTGAACTTCCTCATGTGACCTAAAGCCACGGCAAAGATCACATGGCCTATGGACACCAGGAACATTGTATGTGCATTACCCACCAAACTCCAGGCATAAATAAAAGGCACAAATGGATGTAGCTCTGTGTTTGTTAATATGATATCATTGTAGTATTTCAAAGCTGACCTATGGAATAAAGACCTACGAAAGCACAGGGAGAAAATGCTAACTCCAGGCAGGTGGTGCCATGGGTTGGGTTTTTGAACCAGCAACCCTAGTACTACCAGGTAGAAGTGCTAACCATTAAGCCACTGTGCTGTCTTTTTTTTGCATTGTATGACAGATGGCAGGCACAATCAGTGCCATCTTGCAATGATTGTTTTGAATTATGAGGCATTCCGTGCGTGAAGTTAGAGGAATGGGTAAATTTCTTAAAACAACTCTCTGCCACTAAAAATAGCGGATTAGGCTGTAACTGCACAATGCAGGATGATAATTTATGTCTGCTGGCTGCTGCTTGCCACCATGGGGAGGTAACCTGAATCTGGGGGATAATCTGTACTATGCGCCATGCCAGGTAACAGCTTTGTTCTTCATAGTACAATGGAGCTATTGTGTGTTCATGCTCCTTCCTGCTCACCCTCTCTTGCCTCTTCTGCATCTTTAAAGTGTTTACTCTTCCCTTTGGTTTAGCTCCTTCCTATCACTGGGAGGCGGAGGGGAGTCTGTGTGACAAACATCTCATCTAGCACTGACAGCTCCTGTCTTCTAATATAGACCTGCCAAAATCGTTACGGTAATGACAGCTTTTTGCAAAATGAGTGCACTCCTACCCACGCTAGAATGCTGAGATGAGAAAATGAGTATCCTGTGTAATTTAACCCCCATGTCCTCAGCTAAGCGGCCAGCCGCGTGTTACTGTGTCCTCCACCCTAGCCACCAAACAATTAACTCTTTGCTGCCTGATTTTTATACTTTTCTTCATAATAACATTGTTAACATAGCCAGTGACATGAAAATAACATGTTAGTATTTGCTGTAGAAGGCTCCAATGGATGTGATTTTGATCAAGGCAAAAACAACCCCCTCCCCAGGCAACAATGTCTTTTTTTGGTCAGCTCCCTGAGTTGCACTATCCCATACAATTCTTTAGTAATGAATACAGTTGGCACACCTGGCAGTAAGAAAACTTCCCAGACTTTTATCATTCTAAGGCTACGTTCACACTAGCCTTGTGTGCAGGCGGCAGAGAGGCGTTTGGTAAGCGTTTTTACCGCTTCCCAAACGCCTCTGCCAATTCTGCACATTACAGCACATGGTGCTGTTCTAACGGGAGCGTTTGCATTGCGTCGCGTTGCGTCGCGGCAAAACGGACGCCTCTGGACGAGTCAGGAGGCTTTGAAGCCTCCTATTCTCGTCTATGGTGCCGCTCCGCAAACGCCCGGCCGGCGTTTGCGGTGCGGATTGCGGGGCGTTTGCGGAGCGGGTAACACCACTCAAACTGCATTTTAGGGTTTGTGGGGTGTTATTAACGCTCGGCAAACGCCTAGCAACCGCCGCTAAACCCGCGCATGCGGCGTTTGCAGAGCGTTTGCCGAGCGTTTAATAACGCTCCGCAAAACGCCCGGACCAATGCTTGCCAAACGCTATAGGGGCGTTTGGCAAGCGTTGGCCAAAACAGCCTAGTGTGAACGAGCCCTTATATTCACATTCACAAACAATAGAATTTCACAAGTTAACCGTTCCTACAGCAGAGAAACCCTTCCCTCAAGAGAAATAATATTTCCTTCACCAGCAACAGATGTCCTCCTGTCCCTTGCACAGTAGCCAAAATAAGGAGTTGAAATGTATTTATAGTTAATTTTTTTTTATTTTTGGATCGAGTGCGGAAAAGTTTTGACCCCACCCCTATCTACCTTTTGTTGATAGATATGTGTGATTGCTGGACCATTGAGAGTAGAGATGAAATAATTTCTAAACCCAAGAACAAAGATATAATATATTGCAGA